TCAATTCAGCAATTCAGTTCCATTGGTCTAGCTGCCTATTTTTGTGCCAATACCAAGTTGTTTTCAGGACTATAGCTCTATAATAGAGCTTGAAGTCAGGTATGGTGATGCCTCCTGAAGTTCCTTTATTGTATAGGGTTGTTTTGGCTATCCTGGGCCTTCTGTTTTTCCATATAAAGTTGATTAATGTTCTTTCCAGGTCCTTGAAGAATTGTGATGGAATTTTGATAGGGATTGCATTGAATCTGTAGACTGCTTTTGGCAAGATTGCCATTTTTATTATGTTGATCCTACCAATCCAAGAGCATGGGAGATCTTTCCATTTTCTGGTATCCTCTTTGATTTCTTTCTTTTTTTATTTTTATTTTTTGGTTTTTCGAGACAGGGTTTCTCTGTGGCTTTGGAGGCTGTCCTGGAACTCACTCGGTAGACCAGGCTGGTCTCGAACTCACAGTGATCTGCCTGCCTCTGCCTCCCGAGTGCTGCGATTAAAGGCGTGTGCCACCAGTGCCTGGCGATTTCTTTCTTTAAAGACACAAAGTTCTTGATATACAGGTCTTTCACTTCCTTGGTTAACATTATCCCCAGATATTTGATGCTGTTTTTGGCTATTGTAAAGGGTGATGTTTCTCTGATTTCTTTCTCAGTCACTTCATCATCTGTATATAATAGGGCCACTGATTTTTTTGAGTTTACCTTGTATCCTGCCACATTGCTGAAGGTGTTTATCACCTCTAGGAGTTCCCTTGCAGAGTTTTTCGGGTCACTTATGTAAACAATCATATCATCTGCAAATAGTGAAAGTTTGACTTCTTCTTTTCCTATTTGTATCCCCTTTATCTCCTTTTGTTGTCTTATTGCTGTAGCTAGAACTTCAAGTACAATATTGAAGAGATATGGAGAGAGTGGACAGCCTTGTCTTGTTCCTGATTTTAGAGGAATTGCTTTGAGTTTCTCTCCATTTAGTTTGATGTTAGCTGTTGGTTTGCTGTATATTGCTTTTATTATATTCAGGTACATTCCTGTTATCCCTGATCTCTCTAGGACCTTTAGCATGAAGGGGTGCTGGATTTTGTCAAAGGCTTTTTCAGCATCTAGTGAGATGATCATGTGGTTTTTCTTTCGCAGATTGTTTATATGGTGGATTACATTGATAGATTTTCTAATGTTGAACCATCCCTGCATTCCTGGGATGAAGCCTTGATCATGTTGGATGATTTTTCTGATGTGTTCTTGAATCCGGCTTGTGAGTATTTTATTGAGTATTTTTGCATCGATGTTCATGAGGGAAATTGGTCTATAGTTCTCTTTCTTAGTTGTGTCTTTGTGAGGCTTGGGTATCAAGGTAATTGTAGCCTCGTAAAAAGAGTTTGGCAGTGAGCCTCCTGCTTCTATTGTGTGGAATACTTTGAGGAGTATTGGAATTAGCTATTCTTTGAATTTCTGGTAGAATTCTGCACTGAAGCCATCTGGGCCTGGGCTTTTTTTATTTGGGAGACTTTTGATGACTGCTTCTATTTCATTAGGGGATATAGGTCTGTTTAGATTGTTTATCTGCTCTTGATTTAGTTTTGGCAAGTGATATCTATCCAGGATATTGTCCATTTCCTTTATATTTTCAAATGTTGTGGAGTACAGATTTTCAACGTATGCCCTGATGATTCTCTGGATTTCCTCAGAGTCCGTTGTTATGTCCCCTTTTTCATTCCTGATTTTGTTAATCAGCATGCTTTCTCTCTGTCTTTTGGTTAGTTTGGATAGAGGTTTGTCTATTTTGTTGATTTTCTCAAAGAACCAACTCTTTGTTTCATTGATCCTTCTCAGTGTTTTCCTGGTTTCTACTTGATTGCTTTCCTCCCTCAATTTGATTATTTCCTGGTGTCTGCTCCTCCTGGGTGAGTTTGATTCTTTTTGTTCTAGAACATTCAGCTGTGCTATTAATTCTCTAGTATGACTGTTCTCCAGTTTTTTTCATGTGGGCACTTAGTGCTATAAACTTTCTTCTCAGCAGTGCTTTCAAAGTGTCCCATAAGTTTGTGTATGTTGTGTCTTCATTCTCATTGAAATCGAGGAAGTCTTTAATTTCTTTTTTTTATTTGTTCCTTTACCCAGGGATGGTGCAATTGTGCATTGTTCAATCTCCATGAGCTTGTGTGGTTTCTGCGAATTGTGTTATTGTTGAATTCTAATTTTAATGCATAGTGGTCTGATAATATACAGGGGGTTATTCCAATTTTTTGTATCTGTGGAGATTTGCAATGTTTCCTATTATGTGGTCAATTTTAGAGAAGGTTCCATGTGGTGCCGAGAAGAAGGTATATCCCTTTGTATTTGGGTTGAATGTTCTATAGATGTCTGTTAAACCCAGTTGGGTCATAACTTCTATTAGTTCTTTTGTTTCTTTGTTAAGTTTCTGTCTGGAGGTCATGTCTAACGGTGAGAGCGGAGTGTTGAAGTCTCCTACTATTAGTGTGTGAGATTTTATGTGCATTTTGAGCTTTAGTAGTGTTTCTTTCACGAATGTAGGTGCCTTTGTATTTGGGGCATAGATGTTTAAAATTGAGACTTCGTCTTGATGTACTTTTCCTTTGATGAATATGAAGTGTCTTTCTTCATCTCTTTTGATTGATTTTAATTTGAAGTCTAATTTGTTAGATATTAGGATTGCTACACCCGCTTGTTTCTTGGGACCGTTTGATTGGAAGATCTTTTCCCAACCCTTTACTCTGAGGTAACGTCTGTCTTTGATGTTGAGATGTGTTTCTTGTATGCAGCAGAAGGAAGGGTTCTGGCTTCGTATCCATTCTGCTAGTCTGTGTCTTTTTATAGGCAAGTTGAGGCCGTTGACATTGAGGGATATTAATGACCATTGATTGGTGATTCTTGTTTGTGCTTGATTTATTATTGTTAGTGAAGTTATTTTGTGTAGTTTCTCCTCCCTTTTTCCTTTGGTGCTTTGTAGAGTGGGATTATATGTTGCCTGTGTCTTTGTGAATGTAGTTATCTTCCTTGGATCTAGGTTTTCCTTCTAGCACTTTCTTTAGAGCTGGATTCATGGATACATATTGTTTAAATCTGGTTTTGTCATGGAATATTTTGTTTTCTCCATCTATGGTAATTGAGAGCTTTGCTGGATATAGTAGTCTGGGCTGGCATCCTTGTTCCCTTAGCATTTGTAGGACATCTGTCCAGGATCTTCTGGCTTTCATCGTTTCCATTGAGAAGTCAGGTGTAATTCGGATAGGTCTGCCTTTGTATGTTACTTGGCCTTTTTCTTCAGCTGCTCTTAATATTTTCTCTTTACTCTGTAGGTTTGATGTTTTGATTATTATATGGCGAGGTGACTTCTTTTTCTGGTCGAGCCTATTTGGTGTTCTGTAAGATTCTTGTACTTTAATAGGCATATCTTTCTTTAGGTTAGGGAAGTTTTCTTCTATGATTTTGTTGAATATGTTTTCTGTACCTTCAAGTTGAATTTCTTCACCTTCTTCTATACCTATTATTCTCAGGTTTGGCTTCTTCACGGTGTCCCATATTTCCTGGATATTTTGTGTTAAGGATTTGTCGGTTTTGAGATTTTCTTTGGTTGACGACTCTATATCCTCTAATGAGTCTTCAACACCTGAGATTCTCTCTTCTATCTCTTGTATTCTATTGGTGATACTTGCATCTGTAGTTTCTGATCGATTACCCAGCTTTTCTATTTCCAGCATCCCTTCATTCTGTGTTTTCTTTATCGTTTCTATTTCAGCTTTCAATCCTTCAACTGTTTGAGTTGTTTCCTTCATTTTTTTGGTTGTTCTTTCTTGGTGCTCTTTAGATTCTTTGAGAGATTTGTTTATTTCTTGAAATTTTCCCCCATTTCATGGATTTTTTTGTTTGTTTTTTCTTCTATTTCTTTAAGGGATTTCCTCGTTTCTTCTTTGAGGGTCTCCATCTTCATGAAATAATTTTTAAGGTCTGTCTCCTCTCCTTCTTCTATGTAGTGCTTTTCGGGTCTTGCTGGTGTTGGATCCCTGGATTCTGGTGGGGTCATGTTGGTGTTTCTATTGCTGAGTGAGCTCTTATTCTGTCTTCTTCACATCTCTTCTTTCAGTGGGTGCTGGTGGGGTCTTTCTGTCTCCACTGGTCTCCTTCCTTCCTGAAGCTGAACCTGGACTCGGTGGGGTTTGGGGCTTGGAAGAGCTGATGTTTTTCCTGTGTGGGTGGGTCTTTGGATGCCAGTAGAGTCCCCCGGAAGATCAAGGGGATGGGCTTCCGGGCGCGGGGATCCCAGCTGGGGACCCAATATCACCTGAAGCTGGACTCGCTGTGGTTTGGGGCTTGGAAGAGCTGATGTCTTTCCTGTGTGGGCGGGTCTTTGGATGCCAAGAGCAGCCCCCAGAAGATCAAGGGGATGTGTGTCGGGCGGGGGGATCCCAGCCGGTGACCCAATCTCACCTGAAGCTTGACTCCTTGCTTTACCTTCTTTATTTCCTAGTTCTAGCACAACCATGGTTGGAGCAGGCGTCTTCTACTGGGGTTTGTGGGCACTGATTAGGTGTATGATTTTTGATATAATCAATATGGTCAAGAAACTTTGTATACATGGATGAAATTTTTACTTAATCAAACTTTTTCAATGTTAATCCTTCTAAAATTGTCCTTTAACCATTAAAGGATAAATCAGCATCCTGTTTATGAGTCAAGTAATATTTTTTCAGGTTTCTCTTTAATGACAATCCTAAAACAAATATATAGAATACTGAATGTCTATGGCTGTATTCTAGCTCATGGATAACATTCAGGGATCACACAAGCTCTTTGCAGTTTTTCACAAACATAAAAGTCTTATATCAGAATGATCTATTTAGATGACTTTTGAAAATGTTTTCAACTTTAATTATCTTTTCTTCTATGCCCTTACATTGGGAACAATTTAATAGGAAAATATTTGATTCAATTGCTTTGAAAATTTATTATTTGTAACATCACCCATGATGCTCATTTATCTTTTTTAGAATACCAACAAGAAAATATGAGTTTTTCCTGGTATTGTTTTTTGCTACTGATGAGATCAACAGGAACCCTTATATTTTACCCAACATGTCTATCTATTTTTTCTTCTCTTCTGAGTTGTGTTTTGATACATCAAAGGTAATCGAGTTTGTACATTCATCACGCAACAGCTACTTAAGATTTAATTATGAATGTGGACCATCTTTATGTTATACATTACTTATAGGACCATCATGGACTACATCTGTAAAATTGACAACATATACCATGATACCACAGGTGAGACTATGTGGTTAAAGGAGAGATAATATCTTGTCTATGCCAATCCCAAGTTCCTACAGAGAATTAATGTGTGGCATGTGTTTGTGTGTGCTGATCTACATAAAGAATTAAAAAATCACATATTCACATATCACCAACATTTCTTTGTATTACTAGAATAGATGAGTTTGGGAACCATCCCACAATTTTGTTGAACATTCAGACTTGCCAGAAATATTCTAGAATCCAATAGGACAAATACATACCAATTATAGGGTAATCTTATTATCCTTTGTTCGAGTTCTGGAAGATGAGTAACATAACTCATATCTATGAATGAACATCCTGACAATTGTGTTCCTCACATTGCTTCCTCTGTTCTTCATCCTTCAGATTTTCTTTGGACCATTTCATCCTATCCCGAGTGACAATGCCCCATTTCCCCTTGTCTACCAGATAGCACATAATGATGCATGTTTGCCCCATGCCATGGTCTCTTTGATGCTTTATTTTGCATGGAACTGGATAGGGTTGGTTATCTCAGATGATGATCAGGGAATCCAGTTTCTCTCAGACTTGAGAGTAGAGATGCAAAGAAATGGAATCTGTTTAGCTTTTGTGAATATGATCCCAGATGATGTGCAGCTATATATGGCAAGAGCTGTAATATATGACAATCAAATCATGACTTCATCAGCAAAGGTTGCTGTCATTTATGGTGAAATGAACTCTACCCTAGAAGTCAGCTTCAGAAGATGGGCATATTTAGGTGTACAGAGAATCTGGGTCACCACCTCACAATGGGATGTCAGCACAAGCAAGAGAGATTTCTGCTTTGACACCTTCCATGGGACTGTTACCTTTACACACCATCACAGTAAGGTTTCTAAATTTAGGAGTTTCATGCGAACATTGAACACTTCCATGTATCCAGTAGACATTTCCCAGATGAGAACACAATGGAATTATTTTAATTGTTCAGTCTCTAAGAGCAACTATAGCTCAATGAATCATTGTTCATTCAATACTATATTGGAGTGGTTATCACAAGACAAATTTGACATGGTCCTGAGTGAAGAAGGTTACAATTTATACAATGCTGTGTATGCTGTGGCCCACACCTACCATGAACTCATTCTTCAACAAGTAGAGTCTCAACAAATATCTGAACTCAAAGGAATGTTTTATGACTATCATCAGGTAAAGTATCTTATTTTCTACTATGCTTAAGTCTTGATATTTTTAAATGGCCCACAATTGTTCACATGTATTTGTCAGAGAATATTTTCTGAGTTCAAAGATTTCTATTGTTCAAAATCCCTAATATGAATCTTTAACGTGAACAGGCTAAACAAGGTTAGCATTCAGTAGGTAAAAGTATTTTGTCTGAAGATAAGCTATTTTGTCTGAAATGTGTCTCAATATTTTTCCAAATGAGTTCAATATTGGAAATAATAATTGAAAATTTTATTATAAAATCCTCAGTGAAAACTACAAAAGAATTTCTTTCTCAATAAACAAAAAAAACCAAAAATAAATCAAGAACACATAAGCAATTTAAACAAACCTATAATACCTAATGAAATAGAAGCAGCCATCAAAAGTCTCCCAACCAAAAAAAAAAAAAAGCATAAGGCCAGATAACTTCAGTGCAGAATTCTACCAGAAATTCAAAGAAGAGCTAACACAAACACTCCTAAAATATTCCACATAATAGAAGCAGAATGGTCATTGGCAAACTCTTTCTATGAGACTACTATTGCCTTGGTACCCATGCCACACAAAGAAACAACTAAGAAACATAACTACAGACCAATATCCCTCATAAACATTGATGAAAATTACTCAATAAAATACTGGTAAATCGAATCCAAGAACACATCAGAAAAATCATTCACCATGATCAAGTAGGCTTCATCCCTAGGATGCAGAGATGGTTCATCATACAAAATCTATCAATGGAATCCACCATATAAACAGACTGCAAAAGAAAAACCACATAATCATCTCACTAGATGCTGAAAAAGCCTTTGACAAAATCCAACACCCCTTCATGATAAAGATCCTGGAGAGATCAGTGATAACAGGAACATTCCTGAACATAATAAAAACAATATACAGAAAATCAAAAGCCAACTTCAAACTAAATGGTGAGAAACTCGATGCAATTCCTCAAAAATGAGGAACAGTGCAAGGCTGTCCACTCTCTCCATATCTCTTCAATATTGTGCTTGAAGTTCTAGCTAGAACAATAAGACAAGAAAAGGAGATCAAGGAGATACAAATTGGAAAGGAAGAAGTCAAACTTTCACTGTTAGCAGATGATATGGTAGTTTATTAAGTGCCCGAAAAACTCTACCAGGGAGCTCCTACAACTGATAAATACCTTCAGCAAAGTGGCAGAATACAAGATTAACTCAAAAACATCAGTAGTCCTACTATATACAGACAATAAATATACTGAGAAAGAAATCAGAGAAACATCACCCTTTACAATTTCCACAAACAGCATAAAATATCTTGGAGTAATCCTTAAATAAACAAGTGAAAGATGTGTATAGCAAGAACATTGAGTCCTTCTGGAGATCCCCCCCAAGGAGAGCCTCACCCTCCCTGGGGAATGATGTGGAGATTGGTCTGGGGGTGGGAGTTGGGGTGGGGCTGGTGGAGGGAGAAGGGGGGAGCTGGCATTGACATTAGAAGCATGCATGTTTCTAATTTAAATTAAAAAAAGAACATTGAGTCTTTAAAGAAAGGCCAGCATGGGACTGATCCAGACCCCCCCTGAGTGTGAGAGTCAGTGAGGAGGCCTGGGCAACCTATGGGGCCCTGGGCAGTAGATCAGTATTTATCCCTGGCATGCAAATGGACTTAGTGTGTACATAACACCAAGAGGGATGATCTCTCAGCCTGGACTCTTAGGGGAGTGCCTGGCCCCTGCCCTGAGTGAAATGACAGACTCTGGATATCCCCTATGTGGAAGGAAGTGGGGATAGGGTGGGAGGCTGGGGGGATGGTGGGGGGTGTGGGAAAAGGGGAGGGAGAGGGAACTGGGATTGACATGTGAAGCAAGCTATTTAAAATTAAAGTACTAATAAAAAAGAAATTAAAGTAGATACCTGAAAATGGAATTATCTCCCATGTTCTTCATTAGATAGGATCAACAAAGTAAAAATGGCAATCTTGCCAAAAGCAATCTACAGTTTCAATGCAATTCCCTTAAAAAACCTGCACAATTCTTTACAAACCTTGAAAGAACAACAATCAACTATCTATATCTATATCTATATCTATATCTATATCTATATCTATATCTATATAAGATCCAGATTACTAAAACTATCCTGTACAATAAAGGAACTTCCGGAGGCTTCACCATCCCTGACTTCAAGCTCTATTATTGAGATACAGTCCTGAAAACAGTTTGGCATTGGCACAAAAATAGACAGGTAGGACAATGGAATCAAATTGAAAACCCTGATATTAACCCACACACCTAGGAACATCTGATTTTCAACAAAGAAGCTAAAATTATACAATGGAAAAAGGTAGCATCTTCAACAAATGGTATTGGCATAACTGGATAGTGACTTATTGAAGTCTGCAGATAAGTCCATGACTGTTGCCATGAACAAAACTTAAGTCCAAATGGATCAAAGACCTCAACATAAATCAAGTCACCCTGAACCTCTTAGAAGAGAAAGTCAGAAATACCCTTGAATGAATTTGTACAGAAGACTCCTTCCTGACCATGACACCAGTAACACAGACACTGAGATCAACAATTAATAAATTGGACCTTATGTAAGGCAAAGGACACAGGAAGACAAAATGGCAGCTTACAGAAAGGGAAAAGATATTAACCAACCTAACCAACGCCACATCTGACAAAGGGTTGATCTCCTAAATTTACAAAGAACACAAGAAGCTAGTCTCCAAAATATCAAATAATCCAATTCAAAAGTGGGGTACAGAACTTAATAGAGAATTCTCAATTGAGGAGTCTAAAATGGCTGACAGACACGTAAGAAAGTGTTCAACATTCTTTTTTTTAATTTTTTTTATTTTAAGTAGCTTGTTTTACATGTCAATCCCAGTTCCCTCTCCCTCCCCTCCTCCCGCACTTCCCTTTCCCCCCACCTTCCCACCCTATTGCCAAATCCTTCCACATAGGGGATATCAGAGTCTGTCATTTTACTCTGGGTAGGGTCCAGGCACTCCCCTAAGAGTCCAGGCTGAGAGAGCATCCCTCTTTGTGCTATAGGCACACGAAGACTGTTTGTATATCAGGGATAGACACTGATCCACAGCTCAGGGCCCCATAGGTTGCCCAGGCCTTCTCGCTGACACTCACATTTGGGGGGTCCAGATCAGTCCCATGCTGGCCTCCCCACTGTCAGTCTGGGATCCAAGAGCTCTCCCCTGTTCAGATCAGCTGTCTCTGCTGGTTTTGCCAGCCCATTCTTTGCCAATTTGCTCATCACGCCTCTCTCTCTGTCACTGGGTTCCTTGGGTTCAGTTCAGTGATTAATTGTGTGTTTGCCTCTGCTTCCATCAGTCACAGGATGAAGGCTCCCGGATGGTTATAGCCATCAAGTTCATTATCAGGAATGGGCATTTGAGGTGGTCTCTCCACTATTGCTTAGCTTGCCAATTGGTGTTATCCCTTTAGATCACTCGAGGTCGCTCTGGTGCCTGATCTGTATTCGATCCTATGATTCCCTCTTCCCCCTATTCTACCCCCACCCCCTCAACTTCCTGTTCCCCCATGACCAACTCTCTTCCTCTTCACCCCCTCTCTTCTTCCCAGGTCCCACTCCCCCCTACCCCTCGCCGTGTTCCCCATCCATTCAGGGGATCTTGTCTCCATCCTCTTCTCTTGGGTACTATGCATATATGCATATCTTTTAGGTACTTCCCTGTTTCCCAGACTCTCTATCGGTGAAGTGCAAACTGGCACTATCCTGATCCATGTCTAAAATCCATATATGAGTGAGTACATACCATGTTTGTCTTTTTGCGACTGGGTTACCTCACTCAGGATGGTTTCTTCCAGTGTTATCCATTTTCCTGCGAATTTCAAGATTCCATTATTTTTTTCTGCTGAGTAATACTCCATTGTGTAAATTTTCCACATTTTCTCTATCCACTCTTCAGTTGAGGGGCATCTAGGTTGCTTCCAGGCTCTGGCTATTACAAATAATGCTGCTATGAACATAGTGGAGCAGATGCCCTTGTTGTATGAACTTGCCTCATTTGGATATATGCCTAAGAGTGGAATTGCTGGGTCTTGTGGTAGATTAATTCCCATTTTCCTGAGGAATCTCCATACTGATTTCCAAAGAGGCTGTATGAGTCGGCACTCCCACCAGCAGTGGAGGAGTGTTCCTCTCTCTCCACATCCTCCCCAGCATAAATTGTCTTCGGTGTTTTTGATTTTAGCCATTCTGACAGGAGTAAGATGGTATCTCAGAGTTGTTTTGATTTGCATTTCCCTGATGGCTAAGGATGTTGAGCACTTTCTTAAGTGTCTCTTGGCCATTTTAGCCTCCTCTACTGAGAATTCTCTATTTAGCTCTGTACCCCACCTTTTAATTGGGTCCTTTGGTGTTTTGGAGACTTGTTTCTTGAGTTCTTTGTAAATTTTGGAGATTAGCCCTCTGTCAGATGTGGGGTTAGTGAATATCTTTTCCCTTTCTGTGGCCTGCCTTTTTGTCTTTTTGACTGTGTCCTTTGCCTTACAGAAGCTTTTTTAGTTTCAGGAGGTCCCATTTGTTAATTGTCGATCTCAGTGCCTGTGCCACTGGTGTTATGTTTGGGAAGTGGTCTCCCGTACCAACTGGTTGAAGAGTATCTCCCACTTTCTCTTCTAAAAGTTTCAGTGTGGCTGGATTTATGTTGAGATATTTGATCCATTTGGACTTAAGTTTTGTACAAGGCGATAAACATGGATCTATCTGCAGTCTTCTGCATACCAGTACCCAGTTATGCCAGCACCATTTTTTGAAGATGCTTTCTTTTTTCCATTGTACAGTTTTAGCTTCTTTGTCAAAAATCAAGTGTTCATAGGTGTGTGGGTTAAAATTAGGGTTTTCGATTTGGTTCCATTGGTCTAGCTGCCTATTTTTGTGCCAATACCAAGCTGTTTTCAGGACTATAGCTCTATAATAGAGCTTGAAGTGAGGTATGGTGATGCCTCC